TATGCTTTACCTTTAGAAAATCAAGAAAATTTAGTTTTAAAACATAATAGTGAAATAAATATAGCCTACACAAAAAAATTCTAAATATCTATGTTTAATACTAATCATTATTTATTATTTTACATTGTTTTTTTATAAAATGATTTTCTATAGGTAATTTTTAGCAATAATTTCTAATTATCTTTTATGAATATCAAGTACTATTAATAAAAAAAAATTCTTAACATAAATTGACTAGATACTATTATGTATAAATAATAATAATTATAATATTAGTGGTAGTAGTAGTAATGAAAATTGTTAATAATATAATTTTATTTTCTGGAATTTCATAATATTATTTATATAATTAATATATCATTTTAGAATTTTTTAAATAAAACTAAGCTTTTTGTACTTTTCTAATATAACTTATATTAAAAAAAAGACTTATAAAGATTTTTATAACTACATTTTCCCAAATAAATTTTATTAAATATAAAATCTGTAGATATTCATTTCACTTACCTAAAAAAACCAACATATATATATGATCCTTGAAATGTGGTGTAAGTTACTTACACAACCGTAAAATATCAAAAATTAATATAAGATTATAGGAAGGAACCACATAAGCATTATGGTGAATTTTAAACTTCTTGAGGCTAAAGGTAAAAAAAGAGATTGATGGCTATTTTGAGTTATAAGATAATTAGGGAGCTTATAGAAAGACTTTGGCATAAGCTCTATTGATTAAAGTTAATATCTTTAGAATGAAAATCACCAATCTTGAGCACATACCAAAAGCCAAGAATCTGTTAAACAAATGTTATGACTAGACCTCCTAGGATTTCCGATTGCAAGTCACATCAAATTTGGTAATATTGTAAATTGAAAACAATTTAACTTTTAGTTTTATATAAACAGAACTGCTAATTATTAATTAAAAAGAAAACCAAAAACTAAAAAGATAAGCTCCACTAAATAACATTTTCAAAAACTATATTTCTCGGGTGAACTAAGGTAATAAACCCTAAACCCTAATAAACCCTAAACCGAAAGCTTGGCGGCGCCGCCATCCTCCGAGGTCGTTGAAGCTGGAAGCTTCAAATCTGGTGTTGAAGCCATTCCCGATCCAAGCAAACACTAGATAAGGATTCGATTTGGTATTTTGTGTGGCTTTAAACAAGGTCCGCTAGACATTAGTTCCCCAACATGATCAAAATCCTTGCATTCTCTCTAAGACCTTGCTTGATCCCAGTCTTTTTGGATCTTTCAAGGATTTTCCTGGATGCCCTTGACTTTAGTACAACGAAACACTGCCACTGGCATAGTACGCTGATGCGCTCCACGAGATTTTCTCTTCCATCGATCGAGGACTCCTCTTGGAAGCTTTCTCTGTCCTTTATTCGTTTTGCAGGAGCTGAATGGCTCTTCTCTGATGAATTCTCGTCGATTTCGGCGCTGGGCGTTTGGTCCATCTAGTGACTTGCCTCACGAGCTTGACTCAATGTAAACGTTTTCTACAAAATATAAAGCGAGAAACTATATATATTTTCCTGTCCGTGCAAGCACATGCCAGAGAGATTGAGTCCTCTAACCGAGGAACTGGAGCTGTCGCACGCTACTCCAATCCAGACGCATGGCTGCTTCCAGTCGTTTAAGACTGCTCTCCAGATTGGATCAAAACTGCAAAAGAACCGCAACCTCGTTCTCAGACTAGCAGTGACACCAAGGAAAAGAGAAGTAGTGAAAACCATATTGTAGTACATCTTTGAGAAATTGTGACGCATTTTCCATGAGACTCACATGAAAACATAAGAACACCTGTGCTCGCGAGAAGTTGCTGTAGATTCTAGGTTAAGTGGTCCTTGGAGCTGTTAGTCAATGAGATTTTTTGACTAATATGGACTATGTAGTGACTGCTGTTGACTTTTCGAGCTTTAGAAGCTCTACAATGATGGCTTTAGATTTCTTTCCAGAATTGTTTGGTTCTATCCGTGATTTGTTGAAACATCTTTATTTTGCTAAAGCTTTAAATGCTTGGATCTTAAAGAGCAGTAAAAAACACGTGAGAAAGTGTTTGATTTCTGGCCCAAATTCGCGAAAGGAACTGTTATTTATTTATGATTGGAACTTACTATTGCAAGAATTTGTCCTCCTGGAAAGCTGAGTAAGGTGGCATGTCAAGAGCTGCCTTGGCAATGTGTCCATCTTCGTGGATCTTGTTAATCAGATCCTCTAGCAACGAGAAATTGGCCTGGACAAATACAACCATTGTTTCTCAAAAGAAATGGATAAGGATTGTTTACCTCTGGCCGAATGTAGCTGACAACAACGAGCCGGAGCTCCTCTCCCTAGAAATCTTCTGGGAATTCGTGCAATAACGAGGGCTTCTGTAGGAGGAGCAATAGTAGGAGCAACTGAGCTTTCTTCCTAGCAAATGTAAAACTTGCATTTACCACTGTTTTTTCTGCATTGTCGAAATATGGATTCCAGCTGACGCTCATCACCATCTTAAACACTCCCTTGTCCGAAAGCCTCGCCCAGCCTAGATAAATCCCACAAACTTGCTCTGCTAGTTGCTTGGAGAATGCTCCAGTCGGGAGATTCGCTGCACAGAAGGAAACAAATGATCAAGCCCGTGTTGCAAGAAGTTTTACGTACCAGTGGGAATTCCGAGGACTTTGAAGCCTCGACCAAAGCCTCTGAGCACGGGTCCAGAGATGTACCAGTTGCTCACGGCCTTCTTCTAGCCACACCAGCCTCCACTCCGGATGCTCTTGAGGTCCTCTCCGCTCGTATAGTGAGGATCCAGAATAAGAAAAGTGCTCTCGCCAGTAAGTTCGTTGTAATCCACGCCAAGTAATGTATATGCCAGGACTCCACCCCCTGTGTTTAACTTCCTTGATTATAGAGAGAAAAGATCATATTCTATGCTGATCACAACTGAAGTGCCTTGCGTGTCAAAATGTGCCGCAAGCTCCCGGGATTTTTCTGGTAAATCTGCTCCAGAACGGACGCTTAGTATCTTCGAAGTCACCTGCACAGAAACAAACAAATCAATGAGAGATTAAGAAAACAACAAAAAGGGAGCCATGCTTTGTGAACACGTACCCCAAGTACAAAGCTTAACTCGATCGCTCCAATCCATTCTTTAGATCCAACAAAAGAAGGGTCCTTGTCTCCTATTTCTACAAGTGTTGCCTGGATCTCCCTGCAAAGTAAACAGCAAAGAAAGCATTAGTTGCTGACCATTGATGATTACACCTGTGAGAAGGTTCTTTCATAAAAGTGTAATGCTGCAGCCTAAACCAACAACATTATAGTCTGCAAGGATCGAGATGCACAACCCAGCCCTGGAAAGCAAGCAATCCAAAGTCCCGGGAGTTGCAAAAAAAAAAAAAGCAGATTTTGTTTTTTTACATTGTCGTCCATTCAATCCTGAAGGTAGTGACAGTACTCGTACGAGCGGTCAATAACACTCACTTCTCCACCAGAAACTATGAATAACCGATGTGAGCTAACAAAGAACAATACAAATGAAGAACTCACAAGACCGAGATGAACATCCAAAAGTCGCTTTCCTGGAAAAATTTAATCCAAGTGCTTACAAACGAAGATTTAAAGCCAGATCCGCCCCGCGCAAGCGCATCCCTTCCGACGATCGAGCAGCACGACGCCTTTGTCCGCCTCGCAGATCTGGCCGCCAGCGGCGCTCGCTAGCGATCGTATTGGCGATGGCGCCAGAGACTCCCTCGCATCGATGATCTTGACTCCAAGAACCACGATCGCGATGGTAGAAACAGCTGCGACCACATTCCAGACAGATATTTCAGGAGCACGATTCTTACCAGCGAGGAAGCACGCCAAGAACAGTGAAAATCCTCGGTCGCTTGGAATCCATGAGTGATCGGCTCGCGCGAGCTTGGATTCCTCGCTCGCCAAGGAGCGCCTCGTCCATTGCTCGTCACATGCAAGGTACAAAATTTTCTCAAAGCCTTTCAAGTTCGAATCCCGGGACTTATAAGGTCTCAAGTTCGAATCACGGGACATACAGGGTCTGCAGTTCGATTCTTGAGAAATTTCCCTGGCTTTGAGAGCTCCAGTGATACTTTAGATAGCTTGAATCAGAGCTGAATGCTTGTTCGTTTCTCTAGAGAATTTTTTAGTGTTCTTGGTCGTTCCAAATTAGTAACATGTTTTATTTGGTCTGGCCATTTTATCGTTGGCGTCTTCCAGGTACGAAAGCTTTGCATAAGCCGATATCATCGCGTTCCAGGAGACAACATTGAGCTCGAGCATGGAGTCGCCAATGCGAGGTACTTATGGTTTTGTGTTCTTGCCGCCCTTTTCTGGAGCACGGAGATGACACTGACGCAGCCATAGATTGGATCTTTCACTCGCATGTCCACCTCGTACGCCAAAGTGTTGATGCAATCCTCATGGAAGTAGACGAGGAGCTCGTTGAGCATCTTCCTCACGTTGGAGACGCCAAAGACGTTGTGAACGTTGGCAAAGCGCTCAGGCTGGTCCGGCAGGAAGTATGGCGCGAACAGGCACTCGGGCGTGCAGCGCCACTGTAGGTTTTGGCAAGCTGTGCAGGCGGAGGTGGTGCTCAACTGCTGGTGGTGGCTGTGGTGGTGATTTTGAGTTTGAGTTTGGTGGTGGGAGGAGAGATTTTGGGGGTGACTTTGGAGATTTTGGTGGTGGTGCTGCTGCTGCTCAGCTTTCTGCAGCTTCAGTTGGAATGTCAGTTGATTGGCCACTGAACAATAACCGTTTCAAAGCCTTCGTTTTTCCCCCTATTTTTTGTTTACTTATGCTGATTAAATAAAACTACTTTGCTCATGGCAGTAGCAGTCATGGAAGAGATTAGTGATACATCAATGTATTCTGGCTATTCATCTGATTATACAACACAAAGAAGCTTCATCTTTGATGAAAGCCCTACTTCTCTACTCTCTATCCAAATTGTATGTTTGTACAGTTTGGTTACAAAATTATGTGTGAGTGATGTTTCAGTGGACAGTTTGCCATGCTCCATTTATACATCGCAGTCGAATCTTTTTTGGCTCGATCATTATAGTTTTCAAGTGTTCTTCTTCCCGCTTTCTTTTCACACACCATTTCCCGGGCTCTGACTGCTGGAAAACCAACTTCAAACTCATTTTCCCTGCCTTTGTTTGATCCTGGAGCTTTTCCATTGTCAATTCGTGTTGTGGACTTGACAAATTCCTCACCACCCAAGGATGCTTCTTCACTTTTTGCAAAGACAGCCTCTTCTCAGGGTCGATGTTGAGCAAATGCAGAATGAGTTTTTTAGCTTCGTTGTTTATACCTATCCAATCGAGAGAGCTTATTGGCAAATCCTCTAAACATCCTAATCTTTTCTCAATTTCCTGCGATGCCAGCCCTGGAAATGCACACTTTCCAGACAACATCTCATAAAGAACAATCCCCATGCTCCACACATCAACCCTCTCGTCATAAACACAGCCAGGAGATGACATCTCAGGAGCTCTATACCTCTCTGTCCCAACCATCCCCCTCATGATCATACCTGGTGGTGACCCCTTCTTTGAAAACCTTGACGATGTTCCAAAGTCTGCCAACTTTACATTCCCAAATAAGCTTTCCCCAAACCCAAGAAGGATGTTCCCAGGCTTGATGTCCCTGTGAGTGACACCCCTCCTGTGCATCTTGTGGACTGCCTTGGCCACTTGCTTGATCACAATTGCAGCTTCGTGCTCACTAAGCCTCTTTTTTCTAAGTAGTACATCTCTTAGTGAACACTGACATAGCTCCATGACAAGATGATAGTAATCCTCATCCCTAAAAACCTCCACAAGCTCAGGTACCATTGCTCCACCACTCGGACTATGCATCTTTGAGAGATGCACCAGTGCCTCAATCTCTGCCTCAGCTTCTTCTCGTAGGCCTCCATCTGGGAGCGTGTCATCGGTGATCGAGTCTTCAATTGCGTAATCACTCACTCGAATTGTTTTACATGCGAAAAACTTGCCATCTACCTTGCGCTTCATCTTGTATACGATTGCTTGGCCACCACGACCGAGCTCTTCCTCCAGAGTATAAAAGTTCTCTATATCACTCCCCATTCTCGCTGCTCTCTGTCCTCTCTTAACAATATACCCTAACAAAAGGATTCCGTAGTAAAGGCAAATATATTTCTGCGTTATTCTGAGGAAAAATATTTCTAGACAGTAAAAGAGAAAACAAGCAAGAAAAGAAAAGATACCAGTGCCAGCGTAGCCCCTCCCCAAGATGGAGGAGGCATTCCAAGAACAGCCGGCCCTTCGGCCCACCCGGCCCTTCGTTGGCAATCAGCTCCAGCGTCCTGGCCAGCTCCTCGTTGCGAAGAACATCACCAGCTTTCGCCAGCTTCCCATTCCGCGAGAGGAACTTTCGAAGCGTTCTGTGAGCTAGAATCCCCTTGAGACTCTGAGCAATTTCAAATTCCAGGTAAGGTGTTACCACGAATCCATCCCGGGCTAGCTTGATGGCCGGCTCCAAGAGCGATTTCCAGGGCAGCCTTCCAAAGTGTTGCCACGCGAGGTGGAGTCCAGCGAGCTCGCCAGGAACTCCAGCGGACGAAACAGCATCGACGTTAGAGGATGGCTTCTTTGCGTACATGTCCTGGAAAAAAACGAGAGGAGTTCTCCGTGGATGGAATGTAATGTAATGAAAGATAGAAAAAACCAAGTACCTTGGATGCCGCGGCTGGGGCGATCTCGCGCATGTCATAGGCGATGGCGGAGGCGAGTTGCAGGAGCAAGAACCTCGCAAACAGCCAAACCGGTTGGAGATGAACTGTGGTCCTCTGATAGTTAATGCATTGGCAACGCGGAAAAGTGGACGATCTAGTGGCAAGCCGAGCCGAGAATGCGATGCTCTCCGGAGGTCAACTACAATAACAACACACACTTTGACAGTGAGTCAGGCAAGTAATAAAAGCTCACCAGAGTCGCGTTCAAGCTGGTTCTTATCGAAAATGGCTGTTACAGGATGCACGCTAGCGGGAACTTTGAAATGATATGGGCGCAGCTCTCTACTCTACTCACGAGTCATACCTGAAGACTGGTATTCCTTGCCGACAAAGCTTTACCAATGGATTTCCAGTTGAATCGTCAGAGCACGAGTGATTGTGTTCATCGCTTTGTGCAAGGCGGAGTTCCTGGAAACTAAGCATAGCACGTCCAGGGAAACCGTGGCTGTGTGTAGCAAGGTTCCTTCTGCAGCTATGTAAGGAAAATGAGAAGCGGATAAACAAACCGGCACCACTTACAAGGAGTGTAATGAACCACGGAGGCAATCACTTGATCAGTCTGCTTGCTCAACCAACCAGAGGATGTGCTATCTGGAAAGCAAACTCATCAGAGTTCTTACAAACTTGTGTTTGAGAGCTTACCAAAGAGTCGAAAAGAGCTGGATCTGGGAACACAGATTGTAGCTCTTCGTTAGCTTGAGAGCGACCGAGAAATCTTCTCGATGATCCTTCCACAATACATACAGTGCTTGAGCTCGTGAAACTTCTCTAATCTTCCCATCCAGCTGCTTCTTAAGATCTAATGTCACACAGTTAGAAAAGTAGAAGAGAAAAAAAAAAGTCTAGACGAACTACCTGAGGAAGTTCCGGAAGATGTGTAGATCGAAAGGCCAAGCTCGACTTGACAATGAAGAAGCGCTGTGGATTCCCAAAACTCTTTCGTGGAAAAGGAAGATTGCTCGATCGGTTGTAGAGCCTGAGAGAAGAACGTAATGCCATCGCTGGAGCTGGATCGAGTAGCAGCAACAATATCGTTCGATGAGACCAGAGGCTTTTCCTGGCCACAGCACACGCCTTTGCAGCATCCGATCCAACCAGCAATGCTCCAATCACTTCCAGCCCTCCGGGAAGAAGGATCCGCAATTCACCTCGCCAAATGCTCGGAACCCCGAAATCTCTTTGCCTGGAGCCCTACCTTCCTCAGCGGCGTAAATCTGGATCGCCATCCTTGTAGCGCAGGCAGCGGATCGAGGAAGCGATCGTCCGGGACTCCAATCAGCCACGCTACGCCGGCATTCTCTTGTCTGTGCTTGGCGAGATCGCACAACACCCTAAGTTGACTTGCTGACTAGAAAGTTTGATCTTCATTGACTGTAATTCTTGGGAGTTTTCGCAAATCCTCCTAGCAATATAGCTGAAACAACACTACTTTCGCGCGATTCTTTGCAATTACAACTATCTAAAAAACGTTCATACATCTCGGATCTCTTGCCTCTCCTTCCACAGCCCGAGACTTCCATAGATGTTCGCCATAAGAGCGTAGGCCAAGTCTAATCTCCTGTCCAGAGCAATCAAACGCTGAAACGCCAATCTGTTGAGGTATACGCTCCCTATGACATGATCCTAGGTGGCAGGAGTGCCACTTCACTGATCCAGGTGTAGGCTAGAGGTGTGTCTTTTCATCATGTATATATAGCTATGATATATACGATTATCTTTTGAGTCATCCACCATCGTAGCTTCCGCTCTTCTTCTCTTCATGGTATCAGAGCCCTGAGGGCTTCAGATCCAGGGACGATGGCGCTGGCCGAGGAGGAGGCTAGCGAGGATGACGATGAGCCACCGGACGTGGCTGAGAGGTGCCAAGATTTGGCACTATGCTGCATTGAGCACCAAGAGACTGGCCCAGAGGCGCTGGCAGAGGTGCTGAGAGAGGGCTGGCTTGAGGCACCGAGTGGTATTGGAGTGCTGAGTGAGGCGCTGGAGAGCAGCCGAAGGCGCTGGCAGAGGCGCTGAGAGGAGGCACCGAGCAGAGACTGCACTAGGGCGCTGAGCAAGGCGCTAGGGCTGGCTTGAGGCACCGGAGCGCTGAGTGAGGTGCTGGTGCGAGAGAGCGGCCCTGAGGCGCTGAGAGAGTGGTGCAAGGCACAGAGGCGCTGGCAGAGGCGCTGAGAGAGGAGAGACTGCGATCAGAGGCCGTGAACAAGGCGCTAGGGCGTGTGAGACCCCACGGAGACTGGCCAGAGGTGAGTGCCAGGCGTAGAGGCACGAGGCCCTGAGGGCTTTTGAGTCATCCACCATCGTAGCTTCCGCTCTTCTTCTCTTCACAATCTCCCCACCATAGAGTTCTTCCATTTGTGGCACCCTGCGAGCACGGTCGTCCAAGTTACCAGCGTCGCCTCAAATGGCATCCTCGCCACCATAGCCACCGCTTCCTCGAGCCTGTTACTTCTGCTGAGAAGATCCACCACCCAGTGGTAGCGATGGATCCCGGGAGCCAGCCCAAACTTTGAGCTCATCTCTTCGAAGTAACGCTTGCCAAGATCGACCAAGCCGGCGTGGCTGCAAGCCGAGAGAAGCAAGGAGAAGATCATCACGTTTGGACGAAGGCCTTTGTCTAGCAGCGCCTGGAAGAGCTCCAGAACTCGTGGAGTGTCTCCCTGCCTGCTATATCCTGCGACCAAGTCTGTCCAGCCCACCATATCCTCCTGCGAGCTTAGCTGGAATGCCTCGAGAGCTTCATCCATGCTTCCACACCTTCCATAGAACTCGACCAGCGTCGCGGCGATGGAGGCCTCTCTTTCCAGTCCAGCGTCCCGGATTTGCTCGTGGATCTCTTGGCCGGTTTCCAGCGCCGCGAAGTTCCCGCACGCCTTGAGAGCCGCCACGAAAGTCCCACCGCTTCTCTTCCATCATGCGCCGGAAGAGCTCCAGAGCGAGCTCGTCTTGGCTGTTGTCGACGCAGCCAAAGATCATGGACGTCCACGAGATGACGTTGTGATCTTGCATGGAGTCGAAAACTCTTTGTGCGTCGGCGATGTTTCCACACTTTCGCGATCTAGCGACACTGCCACACCTGGAGTACATGCTCACCATGCTAGATCCCACGAAACAGGTCAGAATCGAGGCCGCATTCCACCGCCGCCGCGTGGATCCTCTTGCCCCGCGCTAGATCCTTGCTCTTGGCGCCATATACTAACCACTGTTACTGCTAAGCCGAGACAATTATATATATCAAACATAATGTATTGAAGAGCAGACTTCAAATCAGAATAAATCAAATAAGCAAACTGTGTTGATGCATATTCAGTAAGTATAATCAAGTAAATCATAATGAAATTTAAGACTGCTTAATCGAAGTGGACTGCTGGAGAGAAATCAAACACGCTGCCAAGCACTCAGAGTTTTTCGACCCCAAGAACTTTGTAAGTTCCACCACCTTTCCCACTCTACAGCTACCATGGTAGTGATACATGGTTGCCAGACCACCTTTCCTGGGCTTCAGTAAAGGATTCCTTCGATTTGGAGCAGCCACAATCCTATCTGATTTGTGAGATAAACCATGGTTTAGCCTTAAGGGTCTTAAAGTAGTTTGTTAGGTTAAAACACATTATATTTTATCCTTTGAATTCATACAAATGAGAAAGAAGTCATGCGTGCTGATGCTAAGTGGAATTGGTCCCAGAGAACACCTTCAAGCTAAGAACATCGAAGTGGTCGTAGATTCACCCAAGGTTGGAAAAAACATTGTTGACCACCAGAGTCTACATCCTCTCACCATCCCCAGTTGAAGTTTCACTCATCCAGAGTGTGGTACTTGATCCATCTGGAACGCACTTCGAATCGTTAAGTGGTACACAGCACAGTCCAACCGTTGTGGTCAAGCAGAAGGTTGCTAACCCAGAGATCCGATATTTAACTCTGAATGCTGATGATAATCTCAAGTCACCTTTAACTACTTGAAAGATCCTGTTGATATGCAAACGTGCGTGAGTGGAGCTAACACACTTGAAATAATTTAACAAAATATACCTAGCTAGTCTTTGTCTTGTATTGCTCGTAGATCTTCTCGAGTGCGCTGAGCTGTTTCTGGACAAAAACCTTGCCAACCTCAAACACATCCCGGAATTCATATGTGAAACTATAGGAAAACCCCAAATCCTCCAGAATCGCCAGCCTCTCCTTGAGTGGAGACGCTCCATCATCCAGCAGCCGCCTGATTTGTGATCTCCTGAACGGAGGCTCCAAAGTGTGCACTCGACTTGTAGAGGCTCCGGGAGAAAGCAGCTGGTGCGATGAAGGTCCTGCTTCCACTTCCCTTGGAGCACCATCCAACAAGACCGGTGTGAGGAACAAGCTGTGGAAAACTTGCTCTCCTTGGTTGCCAAATCTCATGTCCCATCTGCTGTACTTGGCAAGTTTGTCCCTCAGTTTCGCTGTGCTCAATATGTCTGTATCACCGGCCGCCAAAAGGATTTCTGCTTCCGCGACTGTGGCCAGTGCAGATACCCACTGCGTTGAAAGATGTTCAGGCAGAGTCTTCATGACCAAGTATAGGCTCTCTTGATGATCCTGTATGAGGCTGATGACCTTTGATCCATAATCCTCGTCGTTGTGCTCCAGCTCGGCTCTTTGCTGTGATATAATCACTGCTCTTACAGCCTCGTGGAGGTCTTCGACTTCCTCCACTTCATCGGTCGCGTTCTTTTTGTCCTCGACAACCACATAATCAAGCCACATAATCAAAGCTACTTCATCGTTGTGGAACCGAACTCTGTGGAATCTACAAGGCGCAACACCAAGTCTTGCAATGTCATGCTGTAGTGCTTGCAATACCTCATGGCCATCAATTGCATGCGCCTTGACAAACGCAACTCCAGGAGCTCTATAACATCTCTGAAGCACATCAGTGGGGTCGTTCCCAGGGAATGGTATTCACGAGAATCCATTGGGACTTGAAACCCTAAATGATGTTCCGACTTGGACTCGATCCGTGGACGCGAGAGAGAGAATCCACGACACGCATCAAATGGCTGGATCTCTCGCACCATGCGCCGGAAGCGCTCCAGAGCGAGCTCGTCTTGGCCGTTGTCGACGCAGCCAAAGATCATGGACGTCCACGAGCTGACGTTGTGATGTTGCATGGAGTCGAAAACTCCCTGCGCGTCGCCGTGTCGACGTGTCGACGAGGGAAAATGCTGGAGTGAGCCATATCTCTACTCTAGTTTTTTCCATTTCTAAGTCTTTGTGGCTTTGGCAATAGCATGCGGCGAGGCTGAGGACTCAAGAGGGAGATGATGATAGCTACGATCTATCCCTTGTATTCATATGCATACTTTGTAAACCGTGAGGAGTACAAGAGGAAGCACTTGGCGATCCCGCCAAGACTAGCCTGGCTCAAGGGCCACGACCAAGAACTTTTCTAGCTGCGATCAAGGCTTGCGGCTGCTGTGCAGTGAAAGGGGAGGCTGTGGAGATCGACTCCCGGCTCGTCAAGCTCGCTTCTCTGAAGAAAGGTCGATGCTTACCTTGGCGAGTTGCATCAGGGGTGCGTTTGATCTTCTGGGCGCGTTTGCTCTCTGCACCACACCGCCCCCGCCTTTCTCGACCCATTCCCGGAGAAGCTCTTTCACTCGAGGCAGCACTATGAACTCCACGTCCAGGCTGAAAACCAGGATCCGCCAGTAACGCCCTCGTGCTGGTGTCTCAAAAGAAGACCGTCAAGAAGTGCTGCCTTGCGAGAAATCAAAGCTGGAGCACTCCAGCCCCTGGCGGACCGCGAGAGCTCCTCCGGTGTGGCCGCGAGAGCTCCTCTGTGGGGAGATGGACGATCATTGTTGCAAACATCCCAGCTTCCTTCTCCGTGTCCATGTGGAACTTTTGAAGTGTCCTCCAGCCTCGTGGGGCAGCAGCTTGTAGAGCTTCACGTCGAGCTCCAGAGCTCTGGGATCCAGCCCCAGAAGCTTGGGGCAGGAGATCTTATCTGGAATGCTCGCCTCGAGGAGCGTCCTCTCCGAGACCATATGGCGCTTGCTGGCAAACCGACTTGACCAGACCCTGCTGGCCCCTGGAAATCCACAGCTCTCTTAAACCCTAAAATGTTCTGTGCATCTTTCTTACTTTTATTCAAGAGAACCGATGTCGTTGACGTAAGCGTTATAAAATAAAAAGACTAAAATAATACTCCTGCTTCTTGGGTTTAAAATTTGGGGGGGTTGGGTTGTGCCAGGCTAAGGCGGTAGTGTAAGGCCAAAGCGACACGTGGAGAGCCGGGTAGCAAGCTACCGGTGGCCCTCCTCCCACAAAAAATTAGGTTAATAGCGTTGGGACACGTGGTCCCATATCAGCTATTAAACTGATAAGAACAGATACTACACTTGATCTTAGCCAAAAGGCCGAGAAAGGTATGAGCTTACCATGCCTAGCCCTCTCTTTATATACTCAAGCCCTGGCACGATTCTGCGCCTTCGCATGTGGGATAGGGCGCACGCTTACGTGTCGCCCACGTTGAGCGCCGACGTGTCAAAAATTAGGGTACAGGTGGTTGCCATCTTATTTTCATCGTCATAAAAAATTCTTGTTTTATGCTGTTTATATAGGTTTATGATTAGTAAATGAGCTTTTTCCTGGAACGCTAAGTCTCTATTTTTTGTTTTACTTTCTAATAAGTTCTTGCAATAGGTGGTGCTTTGGTAAGCAATTGCCAAAGCTTTTCTATTGATCTTGTGTTCCAGCTTCTTTCGTGCTCTAGAATATTTGTCTTTGATTTTCTTTCTAAAGCTCAAAGCTTTGTAGGTTTTTAAATTCACTTTCTTTTTATATTTCTTCATCACGTAAACTCGGTGCGGAAGCAGTTTAGAAGAAGAAACTACTTTTCTAGAGCTGGATTCGTACTGCTGTAACTTCGATCTTCCTCCTGGCGAAACAAGACATCTGAAATGAAAAATGCGGTGAACGTGGAACGAACACGCGACCTTCAGATCTTCAGTCTGACGCAGAACCTTATAACGATGATACTGATCCACTGCAACATCTCCAGTTGTTCCATCCATTACTTTTCCGGGAGTGTGAGCATAAACGTCCCAGATGCTTGGGCCCCTTGCACCTTCTTTAACAGCGCCTTCATACTGCAACATAAACGTTGCTTGAAGAATGACGAAAAGCTCTAAGCTCCACCTGGTATGACGCGGACGATGTTCCAGCTTGAAGCAGCGCATTCTGGAAAGGGTCCAGTCCGAGGCAGTGACGCTATCCCACTCATAAGATGCATTCACTTGAGCGTAGTCATCCAAGCCCACGATCCGGTCGATCTCGGACTTTGGTGCACGAGTCATGAAGCCACCGTTTACAGAGCTTCCTCCCCCAAGGATTCTTGCTCTTGCATTTGGTACCAGATCTGTGGTAAAAAATCCTTGAGAATGAGCTTGATCGAAAATGCTCAATGCAGAATTCTCTTCTCTCACGAACACGGCATTTCCATACCTCTTTCCAGGAGCAGGACTTTGGAGTTTTGCGACAGAGATGTATAATATTTTTACTATTCCTATCTCTGTGCGGATCCTCTGGCAGGTTTCAGCATCCCTTTAGCTTTCGCATGCCATCAGTGCCGCAGATGGGAGATTCTAGCTCCTTCACCAAAAAGCCAATGCAAAAAAACTCCGAGGCTTCTAAACACCAGCACGAGATAGGCGCAGCACTTCCACAAGCAAAATTTGCCACTCTGCACAAGAACAAGGCTGGTTATAATAGACGATATAGTAAGATACAATGTTTATATAGTTCCTCAAGAAGCATAAGATTGACACATTTAAATGAAAGATTACTTTCTAGCTTGCTGGAATCATGCTTCCCAGAGAAACAAATACAGTTGAGAGCTGTCATTAAACATTTGCTAGAGTAATACTATTAAAGTTATTAGGGCTGTTTTATAATGGGCTTGGTTCATATAAGCGAGGAGAAGAGAAAGGCGGTTGTGGATCTCGGCAATGTGGAGCTCCAGCGAGTCGCCTCCATCCTCCAGTCCGTGGTAAGCAAGCTTGGCGACGACAGCCCCGTGGAGCTCGCCAGGCTATGGTCGCTCGGCGCTAAATGCCACAAGCCCACGCTCACTGTGAATGTTGTCACGCCATCCGCCGCCGCCCTCAAGCAGCGCTTGGCGATCCAGCGCCAGAACTTGGAACCCAATCTCTCCATCGCCCCCGCCTTGCAACCCATCCCTCCACCACCGCCTCCTCCATCAGCTTCTTCATCTTTGTTCTTCACCACCACCACCAACAGTGCTACCGACGCTCCATCGCCATCGCCCCCTCTTGCAGTGGCAAGCCGAGGATTCGGCCAGTCTCTCGAGGAAGCCTTCGCCGGGCTGGGCCGGCTCAAAGATCCCGAGAAGGAGAATCAAAATGCGGTATCTCCAGTGCTGGAAGCTCCTCAAGTTGGCGGTGGTCTCCAAGAGAATGAGGTAAGCAAACTTCCCTCTTGGTTCTCGCTAAGTTCTGCTATGATCTTCCATGGCAGCCCAAGCTGGAAGGCTCTTGCTTTGGAGCTTGCAAGCTTCGCAGGCTGTCCGTGGAGATGAGTCCCTGGAAAGGATGCCTCGCGACTCCATCGTCCGAGCACAATAACTCGGCCATCTCGGCGCTTCTCTACTGTCCGGTGCTCGAGGCCTTCTCGGGGGACTGGGAGCAGAAAGGCTGGCTCTTCTCAGCGTCACACAACCTTCTCAATCTCTGGGTGTGCTCTCGAAAGCCAGTCGGCCACCCTCTCGAGGTAGCCACACTTCAGAAGCTCGACGTTTGCAAACTCTTTATGATCTCGTTCTTGCCAGCTGATGCATTCGCAAAACACTGCCACCGTCGTGGATGCCATGGACGTCGACATGGGTGTCAAGGTGATCATGTCCGTGGGCTCTCCTCGGCCGGGAAGGCCCTTTCGGGTTGCTCTCCACAGCCTCCAGACGAAGAACTTATTCGAGCCTCTGGTAATTTCCGTGCTTGTGTCCTCCTTCCAGAATCACGTCGTGGTGCTCGCAGGGAACGATCCAAATCCCGGAGAGAACTTCTCCCGAGTTCCTCAAGCAGATCTACGCCGGGTCCTCGAGAATGGTTCACGTCTCGTCCCTCCAGCCTTTCAAAGGACCTCTCAAGACAGCTCTAGCTGTTGGTCTCGGGGGAGATGTCCTGGTCTACGAGCTGGCCGCCGCGTCGACAGTGGAGGCCATCGTCGCTCCAAGAGCTTCGTGGAGAGCTCACGACACCGCCATCTCGTGCATGCATCCCAGCGCGTTTTGCTGCAGCATCATCACCGGTGCCTGCGATGGATCGATCAAGCTCTGGGACCTGAGAAGCAAGCCCACGCTTCCCTCCCGCCAGTGTGGACACCAGAAGCAAGTAACCGGCCTTGCAGTGCTCGACGCCACCACCCTTTGCAGCTCCGGCACCGACGGCTCCATCCACTTCTGGGACTTGCGCTCGACCAACCGAGCTTTCGCCAGCGTCATTCCGGACGGGAAGCCGGTGCTCAACATGGCGTCGGCGTCGTCGTCGCCGAGCTTGATCGCCTTCACGACGCGGCAGAGCCTCTACTGCCTCGAGTTTTGCGGGCCGCAGGGGATGACCACCATGCTCTCGCCGCTACGGCCTCTCCCTCCGGCGGGGCCTTGCACGGCGGTCAAGTGGAACACCAACAGCAAGCACGTCTACGCCGCTGGCGTCGATGGAACCATCAGCGTCTTCAAGAATGCGTCGTCCTCGTCTTGAAGAAGATCAAGGCTTTCGAGACCGCGTTGGCCGATCGTTTTAAGTTCGTCTTCTTTCAAAGCTCTTGCCACGCGTAGTATCATCTCATGTCATGAGAATGGAGACGAAGAATCAGCTCTCTATCAATTCATACTTGACGAAGGTGGCGAACCCAGCACGGCGACTTTGGTTTTTAAATCTCTTTTCTAGTCTCGCGAGCAAAGGAGATGCATCGAAGGGAGATTCCCGAAGAGAGGAATACACTGAAAGTGGTGAAGATGAGAAGGTGTATTCGCAAATGATTGTGTCACTCTCCTTGTAGCACTCTTGTTTTACTGAGGAGGAGCAATAGAGGACACACCGAGGATTCCCACAGCTCAAAGAAATACCAGTGAGGTTTTTGGACACACCATGCTGGCAATTCTTATGCGAAGAGCCGGAGCGTGGTCTTCAAGTCTTTGAAAGGATCTGGCAACCCGGTCTCCTGGACTGCATCGTTTGTGATTCCTGTGGTGAAAGTGAGGCTGTGCTCAAGACGGTTGAAAGAAGAACGAGGAAGTAACGAGGTGGACTCGGTGACATATGTTGCAGCTCTTAGGGTGAAGATTATAGTTGCTGATCCAAAAGAGCTTATAGTGATGAGAAGTTTTTAAAAGTCACCATTAAGGATTATATTGAATGAGATGATTTTATGGTTGCTTTTCACTTACCTTTGAGTTTTTTTTGTTATTCTACTTAAAGTAAAGTATTTACATTAATTTTTTATTTTTCTTATAAATTACACTAAATACTTATTAATATTAGGAACAAAAATTTGTACTTTATATTTTAGTTATATGATATAGATATAAAAAATAATTTATATATTAATATAAAAACTTTTAACACCAAAACCTATGTTAGGAATGTTTTTTTAGAAAATAATAACTTTATTTAGTTTTATTTTGAGTAATATAAATTAATTATATTTTCTATGGTCAGTTTTGTCCATAATGACTTTTTTATTATTTATATGCGGTATAAATCATTATTTGAGTTGCATCTTTATCTCAATAAATAATATACTCAAAGCTAAATACAAAATTGAGATCATTTGCATAAGTTTAATGAGGATTTAGATTTATTTATTAATTATTTTAATTTTTGCAATCAGTAAGTTTCAATTTAATATATAAGATTTAATTATCACTACTAAGTTTTTTGTTATGTTTAAGTATTTTTTATCATTCTTTTTATTTTGAACAATTTGAAAAATTATAAATAAAAATAATCAATTTAGTTTTTAAAAATCTTAATTTACTAATCAAAGAGTGTTATATACATTTTAATCCAAAATATTAAAAAGTGAGTAAAATTAAAAAATGAAATGAATTTTGATTTAAAAAGTCTTACATCCAACCTATTTAATTTATATATTCGGACATACATGTCCAAAAAAATAGTTTGAGCTTGGAAATCTTGGACCTTGAATTCATCTATAGCACTACTAAAATGAAAAGAGTTTGCTATTGTTTAATGAATATATTTACAAATTTATAATTTAATATAATTATATTAAATATATATTTTAAATAAAACTAAAATATAAATATAATATAATAAAATTTATACATATAAAGTGAGGTTTTTAGAGATATTTTAAATTTTATGAGTTAAAATTGATATAACTAAGCAATGTCTATAATAAATTTATCAATTATAAAGACTTTATTTATAACATGCTTTTGAACTTCTTAATTAATTTATTAATATAGATATAATAAAAACCAGCTAAATATTTGAACTAAATTTATTTAATTTCACTTGAATGTCATTTTTCCTTGGATCAAGTTTTGGGATTGAGCATTGCTGAGGGTAATACTTTGTAAAAAACTTTATTGGAATGATATCTTAAAAAAAACTAAAATTTTACTTGGCAGTTGATAAGATAGAAAAATAGAATAAACATAAAATATTTAGCTTTAATGGGTTTATAGCAATTATCTTTTATAGATTAATAATATTTGTAAAAGGATATAATATTAAAAATATTTATTTTATATATTTAGCACAATATAATTAATAAATTTATTTAAATTAATAATAAAATTTATTAACTAAATATCACCAAGATCAGTGTAAAAGAGTTGAAAGGACATATAATAGAATTAAGAAGAAAAATTGAAAGAATGTAAGCTGATAAAAATAAACATATTATTATATGATATTATAAAATATAGTTGGAAAGTGTTCATCAAAAGTTTTATAACAATATAAAATCTTTAAAAACCAAAGTACAATAAATAATTTTTTAATTTTTTTTCATAATTTGCATGGTAAAGTTTTAGCTCTTTGTTTGCAACATTACATACAAAAGTTTTACATTTATACATTGTCTATGCCTCTGACTTCGACAAGAAAATAACCAGAAAAGCTGTAAACTTAGGAGCACTTTGTGCCACTGCAGCCAGCTTCTTGCAAACGAACTAGAGAAAAATACGTACCAGACATCGACATTAGTTCCTCATGTGTTCCCTGCTCAACCACAGCTCCACTGTGCATTACCGAGATGCAATCGCAGTTCCTCACCGTAGAGAGCCTGTGAGCGATCACGAGCGTCGTTCTTCCGGCCATTGTCTTCAGCGCATCCTGAACGAGGTGCTCCGACTCTAGATCCAAAGCACTGGTGGCTTCGTCCAGCAGTAAAATCTGTGGGCTCTTCAAGACCGCTCGAGCTATTGCAATTCGCTGCTTCTGACCGCCAGAGAGACGGATTCCCTTCCGGCCAGAATGTGTCTTATACCCCTCAGGGAGTGTACTGCAACCAAAGCAATCTTAGTGACTCACAAACAAGAAAGGAAAAAGCTTCTGCCAACCTGATGAAATTGTGTGCATTAGCAATGCGACTGGCTTGGATTACTTCCGCTTCGGTGCATTCGCTTTCACGTCCATAAGCGATGTTTTCATGTATGGTTGCCGAAAACAAGCATGGCTCCTGGCTCACCAGACCGATCTGTCTCCTCAGCGAGTAAAGTTCAAGCTCTTTGATGTCCTTCCCATCGATTTTCACCACGCCGCTTAGAGGGTCGTAGAACCTCTCGATGAGCGCGACGACTGTGGATTTCCCCGAGCCACTGTGACCAACCAGTGCCATAGAAGTACCACCTGGAACGTGTAGATTCAAGCCTCTCAGAACTACAACGTCCGGCCTTGTTGGATAAGCGAAGAACACGTTGCATGCGTCGATCTCTCCCGCAACTTTCCCCGGAGGAGTAGCTTCTGGATCGTTCGCATTTATCTTTCCCTCCTGACAAAGGATCCCAAATACCGAATCAATGCTGGCAGCACCTTTGGCGAGGTCGGGCGTCAGGCCAAGTGCCTCTGCCACCACACGTCCCGTGCTCAGGAACACGAAAAATATCTTGAAGACGTCCTGATAGCTGATCTTTCTCTTGCTGACAAGCACGCCCGCATACCAGAACTGAAGGCCCCATGATGCGTACAAAACGAAGTGTGCCACTCCCAGGCCCAATCCAGCAGTATGAGACCGCTTCTTCAGATCTGTAACCGACGCATCTAGCCTGGATTGGAGCATTGCCAGAACTCTGCCTTGAGAACAAAAAGCTGTGATTGTCCTGTGCTGACTTATCGCTTCGCAAGCTAACTGGCTTGCCTCGGTGTGTGCCTTTGCAGACTTGTGCGTAAAGCCTTTCAGACATACCAGTTTGATGTAGTAGCAGAAGACGAACAGAGGTTGAGTCCCGATCATGAGTATTCCCAGCCTCCAGTTAAGAACCAGTCCGATGGTGAAACTCACAATTACTGCGCTACCCGTCTGAACGAGGAGTGAGATACGGTCGGTGATAAGAGCTCGAATCTGTAAGCACAAAAACGGCGATATGACATGCCACCCTGTGTAGATAAGAGATTCCTTAGTTACATATCCACGGAAAACACGAAGACTTACCACGTTTGCGTCGTAGGACAAGCGTGTACAAACTGCACTGCTGCTGTTTTCATCCCTGTCGAACCATCCAACGTCGAACTTCAGGATCGCCGCCAGCATCGCCTCACGCAGCCTCTTTGACAAATGCTCGCCAACAGCTGCCAGGTTACAGTGCTGCTCGAGGTTCACGAGAAAGGACGCAGCCATCATCGCAGGAAAGATGACGCAGTAGAGGTTGATCCGTTTCCGCATCTCTTCGTGATCGTTCAGGTAGTATACGGAAACCATGCATCCCAGCAAAAAGGCGTACATTGGATGCACAACGCCAAAACCAAGAGCACCGGCGAGTCCCAACACTCCCTGCTTCCATTCCGGTGTTGCTAAACTCAAAAGCTGGAAGGACCATTGCCTGATCCGCCTTGAGCGATAAAGAACTGAATCTTGATCATTCTGGGCTGCGGTAACTGGTGCTGAATGTGATGACTGTGCATTCTCAGGACTTGCATGCACCGCATCTTCTCCGCCTAGCAGAGCACTGTGAGGCGTTTCCAAAGAAACAAGAGCCCTGTACGCCTTCCCCACTGCCATTAACTCTTCGTGTCTTCCAGTCTCTACTATCCTTCCCGACTCTAAAACAGCAACTGCATCTGCGTTCCGGATCGTAGAAATCCTGTGCGCGACTATAAGCGTCGTGCGTCCAAGCCTTGCCTTCTCTAAAGCAGCCAGAACTGCTGTTTCTGACTTCATGTCTAAAGCACTGGTAGGCTCATCCAGCAGAAGGATACGTGGTTCCTTTATTATCGCCCTGGCTAAGGCAATTCTTTGCTTTTCACCTCCGGACATTTTTAGTCCTTGTTCGCCAACCTGTGTAGGAGATGAGAACAGTTTGTGATCTCAAAACTGACAGCTTACCAGAGTGTCGTAGCCTTCGAGAAGCCTAACAATAAAACTATGTGCATTTGCTGCGTGAGCAGCTCTGTAGACCTCGTCATCGCTGGCATCTTCCTTTCCGTATAATATGTTTTCCCTTATTGTTGTCGCAAACAACGCGGGCTCTTGGCTCACAAGACCAATCTGGTGCCGATACCAATTGAGGTCAAGCTCCTTAATGTCTACTCCATCAAAAAGAATTCTACCAGCTGAAGGATCGTAAAACCGTTCCAGCAGAGAAATAACAGTAGATTTTCACGGAGCCACTTCTGCCAACTAAAGCGGTGGTTTTACCTGCATTTGACGCTCATGAGAGAACGCAAAACCTCAAGAGTCAGAGTTACCAGCGGGTATGTCCAGTGTGAAACTGGTAAGAACGGGTGTGTCAGCTCTCGTCTGATAGCCGTATACCACTTCCTCCAGCCTGATGTGCCCTTGAACAGATTGCATTGTTTTCCCGTCAGATTTATCGACGTCGATAGGTGGAATCCGCCTAATGATGTGAAACATTCTCCACGCCGCCATGCGTCCTTCAACAAAAACGCCAAGATTGGACATGGCAAAACCAAGAGCTCTGCATCACAAAAACCAAAGTTCTCATTTGTTCCAAACGTAAAAGAGAAGAAGTACCTTCCTCCGTTAAGCAGAGCCAAACCGGTAGTGATAATCTCAGCACCATTAGCTTCGCCGTGCATGACAAGCACACTTCCAAACCAAGCCATGAAGGCCCATAAAACGAAGCTGATACCGTTGGAACCGAGTACCAGCCCCTTGACAAGTCCCTGCTTTAAACCAGATGCAACGGTTTTCTCGAGTGCAAGAGAATAAGCTCGAAGGGACTTGGTCTCCGCGACAAGTGAGTACACAGTACGAATGCACGCGATCGTTTGCTCCGCGATGTTCCCTGCTTTACTGTACGTGGCCTGCTTCTCATTCTCAAACTTCAAGATGGCGCTCCCGTAAAACACCCCTGGCAGAATGAGCAGCGGCGTGAAAGGCAGTATAGCGATTGCCAGCTTCCAAGACTGCGTAAATCCAACCAAATATCCTCCCACAAACTGGACAACGTTCCGGATGAAGTTGCCAGTCTATATACACCTTCTCAGCAAACATCAATATCCGAAAGCGACACAAACAATATATGAAAGACAACGTTACCTTCTCGCTAATTGCCTCTTGCACCAGGAGCGTATCGTCCGATACGCAGTTGACAATGTAAGTTGCTGAAAGCTCGTTGTCAAGAAAAGAAACGTTCTGGCGGAGCACAGATCTGAGATACAGTGCTCTCAGCCTCGACGCTTGCCTCTCGCCAGTAAACATCCAGCAGCTTACTTCTGTCTTAACCACACGAGATAAAAACACATTTAAGCAAGCCCACTAAGTTGTTCTTCTATTCCTTTTTTCTTTAGTCTATGGATAAGATACTTACCAATGTATGATGCGATCCACGCAACAATGGCGATATAAACAAAAAGAAGAGCGTCCTGCAGCAAAACAACCAATCCACAATCCAAGATCCAGTCACCAAAACCGGTGGAGTCAAAGGAGAAAAAGCGAGCGCACTACTTAGAACAGGGAGAAAACCGCGCACCTGGGAGATCTTCGTGCTCATCGCGCCGTCCTGTGGCAAAGTACCAAAGTTGTCGATCATGTGGCCGCGAATGATGAGCATCGCAGGGAAAGTGAGGCCATTGACGACGGCGCCGAGCGTGCCAGCCGCAATCAGCACAAAATCTTTGGCATCCGCGAACCGGAACAGCGAAATGTAGGACACCGACCGCTCCGGCCCCATCGCCCTCTCTTGCAAACCCTAAGCCAAAATGGCGCCATTTACGCTATAAACCCTAACTTTTAAAAAACCATCGCTATCAGATCGGGTGTTCGATTCCAGCCCAGAACACTGTTTAGGCAGGGGAGTCGAGCCGCGGACCTGAGCACCACGTCATCACCGTGTCTCTCAGTATAACTAGCGTGTAACTACTGCATGAACCGACAATGGTCAAATTCTTCTCTTTTTTTTCCACTTCTTCGTTTTTTCTCTCCAATCGCGAAGCTTTTTTACTGCTACTTAGCTTGGAGAGGGAGTAGCGATCGATAACTCACATATAAACACCTAAATAAGAACTAGTGAAAGAGGGAAAGAAAAGGAGAGAGCTCTTAGAAGTAGCGAGCTCTTTCCCTGGATTCTAGATTTTAGATTCCATCCACAGGGGGCTTTAGTGGCGGGGCGAGCGAGTCACTTGGATAGATCTGCGCGGCTGCCCACATTTCTTTTTTGCTCTTCCTCTTCTTCGTCTTCTCGCTTTTGATTTTCTTCTGGGAAGAATCTCGCCTTTGTCCTCGTCGCAAGCAATCTAGCGCACTCGCAGCAGTATCGCGGCTCGCAAAAGGGACCCATTCGATTGCTGGAGCAAGGATTCGCATCGATTCCCAGTTCTAAGCTATTTATCCTTTGTGGGTGGGAGGCATCCAGGATCTTCGGGCTTGCAAGCCAAGGCTCTAGAGTTTCCCTTCAAAAGGACCGACATTGGGAGCTCCCGAGAGAGGATTGGATTGGAGTCTCGATGATGGCGATGGTGGTGCTTCTACAAATCATCTCCTTGCTTCTGGGTAAGCTCCCTTCTCTCTCGGATTTTTCCTTCTTCTCCTTTGCTGGTCTTGCATTGTTCTTCGCGTTCGTGTTTCATGCCGTCACACCCCTCTCACTCACCTACACTCTTCACAGAGAAAGGAAAGAAGGAAGCCAAAAAAAATGTGATTTTTTTTTTCTTTCCTCCACTCCATCCAAGCGCTTGTTGACAAATCGATCACGTCACGAGAGATCAAACGGGAAGCTTTGATCTTTGGCCAGTGTTAGAGCCGTGATCTCGCGACGCTCGCTAAGTGTCGCAAACTCTCTCGAGCAGCCACTCTCAAGTTCTTCCTCCAGTTTGTCGGTGCTAGTGCCGTGATCCGTTTCTTCGATCCATCCATCCATCCCCAAAATTCCAGTGCCTCTGCTGATCAATTCGCTAAGATCCAAGCTCCGCCAGCGACAGAGACTGTTGCTAGCGCGAGCGTTGCGACATTTCATTCGCTCCACTGTAGCTCCTCCTTGTCTCCATCGCCAGCGATCGCCCACGATCGCGACTCCAAGCCAAAGCAAAGCAAAAGGAATTAAAGCTCTCTCTCTCTGTCTCTCTCTCTCCCTCTCTCTCTGTGCCATGCCACCACGCCATAGCCGCGAAGACCAAAGAGAGTCACAAGAGAGACGTTTCCTATACTTCCTTTCTCTCTTCCTTACAAATGGTGTCTCTAACGGTGGCAATGCCAAACGATGGCGACAGGGGCGGTCCGGCTGGCGGTATCCGACGGTACCTTCACCATCCAGAACAACTGTGCCGTCACGATATGGCTCGGCGTCGTCTCCAACGCGGGCATCCAACCGCTCACCTTGGACAACACCATGCTCTCCACCGGCCAGACCATGACCGTCACCACGCCTTCCAATTGGGGGGGGCGGTTCTGGGGCCGCACGGGATGCAGCCGCGGCACCGACGGCACCTTCACCTGCGCCATGGGCGACTGTGACGGGCGGGAGCAGTGCACCGTCGGCGGCAAGCCGCCCGCGACGCTCGTAGGTAAGAACCGTGCCGCGCGGTACTAACCGCTACACCGCGCGGTACTAACCGACGTCGCCGTGTGTGCAGAGTTTACGCTCAGCGGCTATGCCAACAAGGATTTCTACGACGTGTCGCTGGTGGATGGCTACAATCTGCCCATGGCGGTATCGCCAGACGGCGGCGGCCAGGGGCGCAACGCGACCGATACCAAGAGCTGCGGTGCCGCCGGCTGCACGGGGGATCTCAACCGGAACTGCCCGGCGGCACTCCAGGTGACGGGCACCGGTAACGTGGTGGGATGCCGCAGCGCCTGCGACGCTTTCAAGGAGCCGCAGTACTGCTGCACTGGAGAGAACGCGCTGCCAACGACGTGCAAGCCCACCGATTACTCGAAAGCTTTCAAGCAGTCGTGCCCGAATGCTTATAGCTACGCTTACGATGATCTCAGCTCCACTTTTACGTGCATGGGAGGGCGCTACACTATCGTGTTTTGTCCCACCGCGACCGACCTGTGAGTATCTCTCTCTTTTCTTCTTTCGTTCAATCCATCCGTGGAGAGTTCCATCTTTGAGCAAAGTTTTTCATGATCTTGGGTTGGTTTTTTTCTCGTTTTTTCTTTCTCTTTTCTTTTGGGTCGATTGATCTCTGGTTTCTTTCAATCCATCCATCCATCCATCCATCACACTTCTAGAGAGTGATTTTCAGTTCGTTTTTCTCGTTTTTGTTTTCTTGGGTCAATTGTCCACCACCATTGCTTGTCCCTATCTTGCCCACCGCCACCTATAGGATAAGCGATTCCTTTTTCTCAGAAGAGCATCTTCTCAGCAGTCAGTACTGAGTGTTTGCTTTCTCTTTTCTTTTGTTTTTTAGTTTCTTCGTATATTTGTATGTTGTTTTTCCACGTCAGTTTCAATCCTGTTTGAGATTCTATGTGATTGTGGTCATTGTCCATTTTTTGAGAATTTTCACGGTTTTTTTTTTCGTTTCTAGTTCCAAATCTTCCAACTCTTCCGGCAACTTTGCCAAGTTTTCTCCCGCGTACATATTCGTAACTGCGTTGGCCTTCTTTTTTTTAACTGCGTGAAGGCACCTCCATCACGTAAATTGTCTGTACAATACAATTTCGCGACCACCATCCACTTGACTTGGAGTTTGAGAGTTCTTCGCTCGATCTTAGTCTCGATGCCACTTCTCTATGCTAACGCTTTGGTTTCCCTTACAGATCCGATGATAACAATGGAGTCCAATTTCCCGAAGCTCAAGCAGTTCCAGCTCCAGCAGTACCATCCACCGATGGTGGCGACAACTTCCCAGTCGGAGGATCATCGCCCACGGTAGGAACCAACTTTCGGATAATCGCTCCATCCAGCGCGCCGTCACGGATCCAGTCTTTGTGGTGGCCACTGGGCCTCACGCTAGGCGTAGTTCTATTCAAAAGCATTTCTTAGGATCATCAAAGAAAACACTGATCGATCGATTGATTGTTTCATCGGTCCATAGAGAGAGTTCCAAACAGGGGTTCCAAAACACAATAAAAAACTAAAGAACAATAAAGAAAAGAGATCTCAAACAGTTTCCGTGGCTATTTGGACAACTTCTGGTGCTTCTTGACTCGCTGCTAGCTTCGCAACCACCGGCGGCGCAACTGGAACTTCGTCGACGTAGTGCATCAAAACGGTGAACCCGAGCTGCGTGATTCCAACGATGATCGAAAAAGCCTCGAGAACTCTCTGGCAAGAACAAACCACGATAAGCGAAAACCAAAGCATAGAAGTAGGATTATATACGCACGAATTTGCTATTGTCGCTGCCGAGATTGACGTTCTTGCTCGCAAAGCTGGAAGAACTCGTTAAGATCCTTGCAGGATGAAAAGGGGGGAACTTACCCGAGAGCCACCAGAGAGAAGGCAGCGGAGATGATCGCGGTGGCCGAGGCCGATGCGTGGGAGACCGCGGCCGGGTATTTCACGTAGTAAAGGCTGCTTACTGCTGATAGCGTTCCGACCACTCCAGTCAGCAGCGAGACCAAGATCAACATCAAACGAGACAAGTCTGGAGAACAAATCCAAAGAGAGAACTCCACAAAGTTGTAAGAAGAAAATAATCACCTTTGCCAAGCATAAGATCTCCCGCAACATTCTCGAAAGCCCACGTCGAGAAGCCAATGAGGATGAGATACAAGAGCAGATTAATCACACCCAAGACTCCCGCCGCCAACTTTGCCGATACCCAGTTACACACGATGCACGCCATCGCCGCCAAACGATGATTATTAGCCGCGAACTAATTTTATAAAAATACACTCACGAGACGTATAAAATATATAGATTTTAAAAAGCTGCAAAAATAGTTTCAACGAAAATCATAAATATAAATCATAAATAATAACAATAAGAAATATAAAGAGAAGTGCTTTGCTTTCACTGAGAGTTGAACTCAGGACCTCCCGCTTACTAAACGGGTGCTCTGACCAAATGAGCTATGAAAGCTGAATAAAACATGTGAAATAATAATTAATATATATATTATATTCTAAATAATAATAATATTAAAATATATTCTTATTATGAGTGCTTCCTCACATTATGAATATTTTATTAAACAATAATTTTAATAGTTTTGCTTTCACTGAGAGTTGAACTCAGGACCTCCCGCTTACTAAACGGGTGCTCTGACCAAATGAGCTATGAAAGCTGAATAAAACAACAATTAAAATATAAGTCATATTACACTGTAAACTAAAATAGTAATAATAGCAATTAATTTAAGAAAAGAGTTAAAAATATACAAAAAAATTTATAGTTAAAATAATAGATTTAAATAACTTTGCTTTCACTGAGAGTTGAACTCAGGACCTCCCGCTTACTAAACGGGTGCTCTGACCAAATGAGCTATGAAAGCTAGATGAAGATTGAGCGAAGCTCCAGCGTTATGACGTTACATCCGAGATGGTAATGCTTCCCGATTGATCGACATCTTGCTCCCGAAAGTCATCCAAGATCGCTTTCACGTCCGCGTCCTGGATCTTGCCGAGCTCAATCAACTTGTAGATCACAAACTCGGGAGCACTGCCATGCATGCACGAGATATATCAAGTTCTTTCCTCTTGGGTCCATCGCAGCAAAGAAGATCGATCGAGAAGCTGTTAAGCTTTACGTACCTGAGCCTGCCATCTTTGTCAATATCGGCCGCCTCCACGTCCGAGATCGTCACCTTTCGCGAGAGAACCCACTTTGCGATGGCGTGCTGCCGCTCCTCGGTGATGAGCTCGGCGAGGTAGAGCATGAACTGCGCGACGCAAGCGGTGCTGGCCAGGATCCAAAACACCGCACAGATCCTCCCGACCTCCGTCCTGAAAGCTCGATCGCCATAGCCCAGCGTGGTGACGGTCACGCAAACGCAGTAGAACGAGTTGACGAAGCCGAGGCCCTCGACTCCCATGAGAATGCCGATGCCGGCCCCGAGGACGATCACCACCAATCCAGCAGCGACGAGAACTTTGTGCTGCACGCTCGTGATCCGGGACTCTCCCGACTGCTCGAGCTGCTGTTGCTCCTCGAGAGCTTTCTCGAGCAATCGCTGCTGCTTCTCCACGAAGTAGTTCGCGGCGTTGCCGATGATGAGGCCGATGAGGCCGAAGCCGAGGAAGACGAAGGCGCAGGTGAAGAGCTTGGCGGTGCTTGTGTGGGGGACGAGATCACCATAGCCGACGGTGGTCATGGTGACGGCGCAAAAGTAGAGGGCGTCGACGATGTTCACGGTTCTCTCGCCCTCGAAGCCGTGCTTGACGTAGATGAAGCACAGGAGTCCCACGCCGATGTAGATGAGGAGGATCATGGCGGCTCGCTGGGGCGTGAGGATGGCCAGGTTTGCAACGGGCGGGAGCTCGGGTTGTGGGGGCTTCCCGGTCGACCGCTGTCGATCCAGGCTATAGTTTGCTCCAGTGTCGCTCGCGCATTTCTTGAGGTGGTGGTCCTTGGGATCGCTCGCAGGAACGAGCAAAGGCTCTCTAGTGTTGCTCATGCTTCTCACCAAAAACTAGAAATGAAACAAATGAGCTAGATCGAGAAAACCATGGACGAAGTCGAGAAGTCAATGACGAGAGAGATCTACCGTACACTTAAACCCTTAAGAAAAGAATGAGACCTCTCTTCTATGCCGTACGAAGAAGAGACTTCTAGGACCTAAACTCGAGGATCCCAAGTTGGAGTTTGATGGGATGCCCAAAAACTTATCCTTGCTTAGACGACAAGACAAACAACCGCCAAGGTACCTGGACTGGAGCTCTGCCCTTCCAAACGCTCAACGCCCAGACCTAGAAAATGTGGCCAGTCCAGAGCTCGATTCCTCACCCCTTCACTCCCACCAACTTATAACCAAGCTTTTCCACGTGAAATTATAATCCACTACGTGGCCATGCTATTTTGTCACATCGTGGATGAGAATTCTTTGACATCATCATTTTGAGCTTTGAAGAAATGGATAAAGAGAAAGGTTCTCTCTGACCAAGACAATGCTCAAGAGATTTTTAATACTTTGCTGTCAATGTCGTGATCATATGGTGAGTTCATGGCTCCCTGGAGTGTTTATTGACAGAATTCTTATATCTTTGTTCTTTTTGTCAATACCGTGCTTGATCTAAACTTCTTGCCTAGCATACAAAGAAACCATGTTTCCCACACGTAGCACAAAGATGAAGAGGGAGAGGGAGAGAGAGCAAAGAGAGACTTGCTTGATCTAATTACTGAAATAACAGTGAATCCTAAACCTTAATAGTTAGGTAGTCACGATTACTTAAAAAAGCAAACATTGTGATGAGGAACTTACTATGCCATCTCTGTGATGATATTCTTGCCATCTTTTTGGCAAATCTGCAGTGTTCCCTCAACCTCCAGGAGTCCATACATCCATTTGGTAGAAAAACAGCCATCGGCACTGTCCCGGGGTGGCCATTGTTGATATTGCGAATCACCCCTGGTTCAGGGCAGCTTGTGATCTAGAACCTTTTTCCTTTATGAGGTAAAAAAGGATTCGAGTAAAAGGAAAATATTCTTTTAATTTACGCGAGAAAGAGCAGAAAACCAATGGGACAAAGAGACAGTGAGATCTACCGTACAACTAGAAGAATAAGACCTCTCTTATACCGTACTTCTAGGATGCAAATTCGAGGTTAGTTTGATGCGATGGAATCGCCCCAAAACTTATCCTTAGCTTAGAACTCAAAAGACAAGACACACAACGGCCAAGGTGCATGGACTGGAGCTCTGCCCTTCCAAACGCTCCTAAAATCGAATCCTCGCACTTATAACCAACGCTTTTTCACGTGAAATCTTAATCCACTAGGTGGCCAGGCCAAGTTATTTTGTCACATCGTGGATGGATGCTCGAGAAATTCTTTGATATCATCTTTGGAGAAATGGATAAAGAAGGAAAAGATAGTGTTCTCTCTGACCAAGACAATGCTCAGGAAATTTTATTTCTTTTCCTGTCAATGTGGTGATCGTATGGTGAGTTCATGGCTCTCCTTGTTTCGATTCCACTTCTTTGGGCTCCACTTTGGTTTTTTGTCACCACTTACCAAACCTTCCTTGTGTGTGACAGATAGCTTTTGGAGCACGCAAGAAAACTCTCCATGAGTTTTTTCTTGAGAGATTTCCTATGTAGTTGGCTCTTTTTTGTCAATGCCATGCTTGATTTAGAGATCTTGCCTGGCATCCCAATCCCCAGCTGGCCGCATTGTCTTGCCATGATACAAAGAAATCAAAGATGTTTCCCACACGTAGCACAAAGATGATGGCCAAAGAGAGAGAAGTATGGAGAGAGGAAACTATGGATATGGCGAGCAAAGAATTAGCGCAAATCCTTTAAAGTTGAAACATCTTCGAAAATCTTTACATCGAGAGAGAGAGGAGAGAGAGGAGAGAGGAGAAAATCTAAAAAATCCGCCATGGTGGTGTGTGTAAGTAGTGTTCTCGGAGTGTGTTGTGTTGTATCCTTTTCCTTTCTTTTCTTCCTTGCGATCGATCATACTGCCGCCTCCGCGCTTGTGTGTGGCGGCGCCTCGGGCGGCGCCGTCGCCTCCTTGGTGGCCGTGGTCTCCCCCGCCGCCGCTGGCGCAGCTGGAGCCGCCGGCGCCGTGTGGCCGATGAGCTTATCGTGGCCAAAGATCCCGTGAACGAGCAAAGTGTAGAGAAGCTGGGTGATTGCACTTATGATCGCGTATGCCGCCAGCGTCGTCTATCATCCAATCCAGACAAGAAACTCGGCTCCAAAGTTCTCGGAAGAAGAAAAGAATCGTCTTACCAGCTTCTTGTTGTGGAGGCCACCAACGTGGATGTATTTCGAGGCAACGCTGCCAGGAACCAAGAGAAATCCTCGTCAGAAACCCGAGAAGCTTGAAGAGATCGAGCAGGGAGGAGGAAATTGACTCACCCAAGAGCCAGGATTGTGACCGGCACCGCGAGAATCGATGTAGCCATCGCCGAAGCTCTGCTCTCGGAGTTCCATCTCCTCAAGTAGTAGAGACCCGCCAGCACCGAGGCAATGCCCACCACTCCAGCGAGCAATGTGTAGGTGATGAGATCGGAAGTCACCTTGTTCCCTGCCAAGAACAAAGATCACAAGAACACAAGTTAGAACTCGCCAAGAATCTTGGAAGAACAACACACCTCCCAATCGACCACTCATTTGCTTGTCGTAGGCCCAGCCCGCGAATCCCAGAATAACAGCGTAGAGGGCGAAATTGAGCGCTAGCAGAGGACGGAGCAATGGCTTGAGCGTCATCTGGTGCCTGAGCTGCGGAGGGATCGCCATAGCCGCCGCCAAGATCACCCAAAAAGAAGAAAAAAGAATTTCTCCCTCTTTCCCGTTCGAGCCAGCCTTGGCCGCTATATACTCCCCCGCGGTAAAAAAATCCGAGTAAAAAAACGCCGGCGCTCCCGCTATCCAGGAGGGAAATGTGGGCTTGCCCAGGTGGGTAAAAATCCTGGCTTTTTACCACTCGGTTTTATCCGTGGCTGCCGAGGATTCCGTTCGTTTGGCGGCAAGTGGGGGGCTGCCACAGCCAGCTTTGCAGCGGCGTCCCAACGGCTATGATCTGGCGGCCCTCGCAGATCCAACGGCTGGGATTGGGTGTATGCTGTAGGCCTCGCTGTCGCCACGTGGCCAGAGTGGACATGACCCGTCACCCGTCAGGCTTTGGTGGACGGTTCGATTCCCACCAATCTTTATTGGATTAGATGATATCGCTTCATTAACAGGAGGGCTTCCTGCCTGGAATCCATGTTCGGTGGCTATTGTTTTTGTGATATCACTTTGGAGAGATGATGATATTATTCCTTGGCTTGGCTCAACTCCAATTCTTCTATGAGGTAGCTTTAAAGGTGGCTGGACGTGCTGCAAGGGAGATCGGTTGAGAGGAAACAAAAGACTGGAGAATGGAATAAATGGAGTTCTGCCACTGTCGTTCAGGATCATGTGTAATGTTCCACACATACATCAACCAACTGGGTGCCATTATAAATATGAATTGTCCAATTTGGGTTTTGATCACACAAAATGGTTAAAAAAAAAGTAGATTCTTATTAAGCTTCTTAATTTCTTCTATGACTATTAACAATAGATGAAGAGTAAAAGTCTCTGAGTAAGAAGTTCGTGGATGGCAGATGCAAAACAATCGTACTCGGCCATTTTAGCGAAGAGGAAGCCAAGCGATTTGTATCTGAGCACTTGGCACCACGCCTGGGCTTGACGCTCCGGCACGGCTGGGAGGAGAGCGTTTGGCCTCCTATCTTCGTGGCAGTAGGCTTACTAAGGCTGATGTATTAACGTAAACTAAACATTTATTTTAGTATAATTTTTATTAAGGTTTGCTGTGCATGCAAAGACACTTGCGTTTCAAGTTGGCGAGCACAAAATTCAACGACGGAACCAACTGCATTGGAAGATTGTAGAGAATGGCGGTCAAGCTCTCGTGTGCTCTTCTCGCCCTCATGGTGATCACCAGCTCGTTGGCTGAGGCGTATATGGTGGAAGAATTCGACAGCTATCTGGATCGAGGCCGGGAACACGACCACCGTCAAGTTGGCGTTCGCAAGGGAGCCGTGTGTTCTTCGTGCAGCAAGAAGTACTGCGCTAATCCTTTCAACCATTGCCACTGCGAGAATGGTTGTAGCGAGTGCTCTTGCTGCATCACCCAGCCAAGCTTTAGCGATGAGGATTGAAATGCCTCTCCATAGTTTGATCTTGATCATGCTAACCTTCAAAATAAAGAAAACTTTCTGAGCTTAGGTCTTCTTTTCACGCAAATTCTGTTTGTTTGAGAGAGTGTCAAAACGAAACGTGAGAAGATCGCAGTGTGGAGAGGTTTGCTGCTCGACACTCTCATCGGCCGGTTCTTGACGAGAGGAACCAGCGGCACCACGTCTGTGATAAATGGGTAGTCAGCCTCAAGTTGGATACACGAACAAACAGAAGTTTTGACATGCAAAATGGATACAAACGAGAACATTACACCTGTATCAAATCTTTCATTGTGAACTGCCCCGGATCGATGATCTTTACCATCTTATTCGTGTCAATGCCTGGAAGAAGCGAGTCTTGATACTACCCAAAGAGAAGCTCGCCAAGTGGGAAGGCGTCTACGACAAGGAGCTCGACGACTTGCTCAGTTTCCTGGAGGCCATAACCAAGCAGACTCGGAGAGCTCATGTGATCATGGCTTCCTCGGACGAGTTCTTCCGGTCGTGGCTGTGTAAGAAGTTCGCGGATGGAAGATGCAGAGCAATAGAACTTGGCCTCTTTAGCGAGGAGGAAGCCAAGCAGTTTTTCTCCGAGTACGTGGCACCATTTGTGGGCTTGACGCTCCCGCAAGACTGGGAGACGAGTGTCTGGCCTTGCATCTTCGAGGCAGCTGGTGGAAGCCCGTATCTATTGAAGACGGTGGCGTGCAACGCTTCTCTTGACGATGGTGAGTGTGCTACCAATCTACTGGCACAAGCCCAGGATCTCATAGACATGGAAAAGGTGAACCTGGAGATAGCTTTGCACCTTGGGGAGGAGGAAGGATGGACTCGAGCGGAGTTGGCTGGGATCTTAAAGGCGATTGTGCAGGGCGGTGGTGCCGTGACATACAAGAAGGTGGTAGCCGAAGTGTTCTGTTGGCAGATCAACCGTGCTAACGAAGTTGTAAAACGGCTGGTGCGCAACAAGGTCATCCATGTTCGCGTGCTTACCAGGGTTACCAAGTACAGAGACATGCCTGCGCAGCACACCGAAGCGGGTGCGTACCTCATGGCCACCAGTCCTGCGGCATATGCAGCCA